GGAGATTAAAGATAGATAGAGCGTGTAATAAATTATATAGTAATAGTACATTACTAGTGCTAGTATTAATATTCGTATATATAATTATTATAGTGTATTAGCTGAATATTAACTAGATCTAGGATAGTAATCATGGTAGGATATATAGCTATACTATATAATGCGCGTTACAGTGCACGCGCGCTATAAGTATTTCGATCGCGATGCAAAAACCGGGATTTGCATCCCGCTTATTCGCGCCAGTGTGAACGCGCCTATTATTTCTAATGACGAATGCGCGCGGCAGCGTAAAAAAAATTAATACTGACAACCGCTTGGTTTTACGAATTCTACGCTGTAGGTGAATGACCTGAAGAAGAAGAACCCGCATCTGAAGGTGCTCATAGCTGTAGGTGGCTACAGCCTAGGCTCGTACCCCTTTAGCATCATGGTGGCGAACGCCAACACGAGAGCGCTCTTCGTGAAGCAGTCTATTGACTTCCTCAGGCAACATGGCTTTGATGGACTCGATATAGACTGGGAGTATCCATCGGGAATCGACAAAGAACGCTTTGTCTACTTAGTCAAGGTAATGTAAGCAATTCGTTTCTCTGCAAATAGATGAAAAAGAGCCGCGAGGGATCGTCACAGGCGGGAGTGTGATTCGGTTATAGAATACGAGAGTCATGGAGAATAATCAGCAAATTATTATATGATAATTATCGACAAGAAAATGCATAAAAAACATTTTGTTTCATCGTGTTTAATTTAATGAGATTTTGCCAGTATAGTTGACCCTTCTCGTTCTCTTAATTGTCCTACCTCTAGACGATTTCAATGTACTAACGCAGTGGTGAACGTAAAAAATGCGTAGCTGGGGTGAGGCCTCTTTACATGCCGATTGTAGACGAGGTGAGGTGGAGTGGGTGATAAACGTGACTGATCAGTAAAATTCGTTTGATAGTATCTCGTAGGTTTCATATTTTACCCAACACTGAAATGGTGCTCGCGCATCCTTTATTTTCATTAGAAATATGATAAAATAGTAGTCTCCATTATAGGCGCTGAAGGAAGCTTACGAACAAGAGGCCATGGAGAGCCAACGTCCCAGGTTGCTGCTTACCGCTGCCGTACCAGCAGGGGGCGGTGCCATAGACAATGGTTTCGATATTCGAGCGCTTTCATCGTAAGTACAACAACGACCACGACAACGACAACAGCAGCAGCAGCAAAAACAACAACAACAACAACAACAACAACTACTACTACTACTAGTAGTACTACTACTACTACTACTACTACTACTTCTACTATTGTAGCAACAACAACGCCAACAACATCAACAACAGTGACAAAAACGACGTCGACAACGACGACAACGACGACAACGACGACGACGACAACGACGACAACGACGACAACGACGACAACGACGACAACGACGACAACGACGACAACGACGACAACGACAACGACGACAACGACGACAACGACGACAACGACAACAACTACGACAACAACAACGCCAGAGATGAGTGAGATATCAACATGTATTTTCATGACACGGTATATATGTCATCGTTTGCAGGTACCTGGACTTCATCTCGTTGATGTCGTATGATCTCCATGGACAGTGGGAATCATTTCTTGGTCACAATAGTCCGCTGTTCGCACGCTCGAACGAAGATGTGTGGCAAAAGCAGCTGAACATCGTAATTGCAATTATCTCGCTCGCACACTGAACCCATGCGCACGTATGCGCACGCACACGCACGCACACACGTACGCATGTACGTAAATGTACACACAAGCCCATTATGTAGACGGAGCTAACCGAACATACAGATAAAGTTATGAATGAACATAGATAGATAGATAGATAGATAGATAGATAGATAGATAGATAGATAGATAGATAGATAGATAGATAGATAGATAGATAGATAGATAGATAGATAGATAGATAGATAGATAGATAGATAGATAGATAGATAGATAGATAGATAGATAGATAGATAGATAGATAGATAGATAG